GTACATTTCTTTCTGATTAATAATTATAGATATGACATATAGTATTAGTCTAGGCAGAAATGCAAAAAAATAGCCTTGACAGTAAATAAATAGGCAATTGTATTAAAAGTTTGTCAGTTATTAAAGGTCAAGTCTAGAATAAATAATTTCTTTAGAAAAGTGAAAACATATTTGAGTGAACCCAATTCAAAATGTAATATATTTTAATACAGCAGAATATGACTTTGTATTACAATAAATATTACCAGCTGGTGTTGGTTATATTTGTTCAGTCTGCGAAGCTGTTCCTATTCAAAATGAAAAATATTCTCAATTGCTTGGATACCATTCAGTCTCACCCTATCATTTTCAAGTAATGAAGTTAAAATCCCACAAAGCCTTTTCCCAAGAGTAAAGAATGTGGAACTATTTACCCTACTCTAATGTTATTTCTATCACAAATAGAAATTGGACTAATTCAATTATGCCTTTTTAAAACATAAGAAAACTACTTTCTTAACTAATTTTTACTTAAAATAAATTACAATGCAGTCAGATATAAATGAGTACTCAGGCAATTTTATTTCTTTGTATTTTATGTCAGAATTACTAAGAAAATTGAAAGTTGTTTTTGCTTTCTGACTGAAGATTTAACTTTGGCAAAATTAAATTAGAGTATTAGATGAACTGAACAAAAAATGATGATATTTCTAATACTAGCCACATTCATTAGTTGTTTACTTTGTGCAATAGATTGTATTAATTGCTTTACATCATTTAAACTTTATTACATTGTCATTTTAGAATTAAGTTATAGACTTACAAAAGATAAGTAAACTGTCTAACATCATATGTGGGTAAAATGTAGAGTTTACAATCAAACTCAAGTCTGGCCAAATCTGTAGAGTGCTACTTAAACACTATGCCTTTCAAATATAAAAGCAGACAATAAAATACAAATATTTGACTGAAGTGAATTAAATGCTGGGATAAAAAAGTTGTTAGTTTTATTTTCAGATAGGAATCAATAAACTTCTAGAGTCCATCAGACTGCTTACTATGAATTAAAGTTTAGTAGATATTGAGGAGAACTAATTTATCAATACTACACCCTTACTCATGCTTTGATACATTTGCTATCGATAAACTTTAATGAAATTTTACCAGATAGTGTTGATTGACCACATCTTCCCTCATAATATGCTTCTGCTAAAATAAAAAAAAACATATGTAATATTACATATATTTATATATGTATGTGTTGTTTTAGTAAATTGTAACATATATATTTTAAACTTAGCAAATATATCTCACCTCTGCGCTGCTGGGAAAAACTTCCTGAAAAAAAAGTATGTACAGTTTTAGTTTTATATCTTATTAATTTACATTTAAAGTAACAATATTAACTAACTATATAGTATTGCTAAACCTGTGGTAACCTGATGTTAGCCACAAATTCCTGGATAACTGAGACAAGATAAGTAATTTGAGGCACATGTTAGACTCGAAGCTCCCTTTTCTCTCACTATTTTCACCAGGGAAGTTTTTCAGGATGTTGAAGGTAGATATGAAATATTCACCATTTCTGAGTTCACAGAAACCACATAATTGAGTTAATTTTATTTTGTAACTTGGATGAAGGTCTTCTCCCAAAGTTAAAGGAAAAACCTCATCACCTATACCTGCTATATTTTTTTTCTTTAGATTAGCAAGCTGTAAAGGATTCCAGTGTCTCATTAACCTAGAATTTGTTGATTTCTACACAGAATGTAACATTTTTACACCATTGATTTAGAAGCATAACCATTATTATAATTTTTAATAACAGGATAGAGTTCTACCAAATCTGGGAAGGGCAAAAATAATTAGGAAAAAAATGCTTGGGCACCTCAGATGTCCAGAAGATTGTTTGCCCAGAAATAATTCTGTAATTTTGTCTCTGACAGATAGTTGCTTTCTTACATCAGTTGGGTTGATATTTACATGTCAAATTAGGATAGAACTACATATGAGTACCTTGTACAATGAGACCTTCATGGTACAATAAGCTTTCATAAACATTTTCTAACTACAGTTGACCAATGAACAACAAGGGGGTTGGGGCCCTGAGCCCCCAACCTAAGCTGAAAATTCCTCTATAATTTTAACTCTCCTATTAATAGCCTACTGTTGACTAGAAGCCTTGCTGATAACACAAAATTGATTAACACATATTTTATATGTTATATGTATTATTGTATTATATACTTCATTCCTACAATAAAATAAGCTAGGGAAAAGAAAATACCTTTAAGGAAATCATAAGGAACAGAAAATATATTAATAGTACTATACTGTATTTACTGAAAAAAATCCACATAGAAGTGGACCCACATATTCAAATCTCTATTGTTCAAGCACCAACTGGGATTAGTACACTAGATCAACATCAAAATTATTTACCTCACTTGATGAACTGCTGCCAGATTCCCTTTGCTAAGAGAAAAAAACCAGTGTTACTGTACCTGGAACTTTTAGAATCGGAAGGAAATTAGTTCCACACTTTCATACTAAGTTGCTAACTTCTAGTTTCAGAACTGAAAGAAATGGTATGAAAAGATTCAAGGCTAATATAATGTATCTTCTTGGAGTATCAATTTTATGTAAAATATTGATAAAAATTTATTTAAAGTGGAGGTATAATGACTTACCAAATAACTTAAGAACATTTTTTTTATTGAACACAAGCATATGATTGAGTAGAATGCAAATGTACATGGATTTTTGTGATAAAAATGAGACTTGAAGAAAGAGTGCTAGTGAGTTGGGTCACACAGAACCCTGAGTTGAGTGTTTATTCTCATTTTATCCTTGTGGCTACTTTGATGTGAATAAACTGGAAACAAGGAAATGCAACAATCAATTTCAGCATAGAACCAAAATTACACCATCTTTTAAAACATCTACACTTTGAAAGGTTTAGTCTTTTAAGTCATGTATGTATGTTTACATATGAACATATTTGTTCCTATGAACCTATTTTAAAAGATTCATATTAATATTCAACAGACTTTTCATCTATCGTAAGAGTTGATTAACCATATATTATGAGCTAGCAGATTTTTTCTTCCATATTTTTAAATTAGGCTTATGCTAGGCGATTGCTGCATAGATTCTTTCTGTGCAAGGACTACCCCCAGCACAGAAGAGAGTGAGCTCAAACCTTTAGACGTCAGAGACAGGGTTTTGTGGTAGTCTCATGTTTCATTTTAAACATTCACGTACACTTGCTTTTTACTTTTCATTTTAATACATTAGCCATGTTTACTGATCACTGATAATTATTTAAATGATAAGTTCCTTTTCCAATTTTAACTTTATCTGGCACAGCACTACATTCTTGGGTAAAATGGCCCTGTTTGAGAAGTTAAATCTTGCTCCAGTTGAGAAGATAGCTTTCTTAAAGCATATAGCATCTACTATGTGTGATGTATGAGTGTAGAATTTATTAATGAAATAGAGCCATCTTACCACAGAGTCTCCCATGACATGTTCCTTAAGAAAAAGAAAAGAGAATTAATTTTATTTTTCATGATGAATATTCAAATGTAAAATAATAATTAGCAAATATAGTAGATGCCAAAGAAAATAGAAAATTGATGCAATAGCTAAGGGATAAGGAAAACAAAAAGCCTGCCTACTTTGGCTTGAGTTAACCAAAGGATTTACCTCCCTAATTTGCATTCCAGAGTTTAATAAAAACTATTTTGGATTTTTATATGTTGTGACAAATCAATGTAATAATCCTACACTTTCTTTTAAACAGCTTAACATCGTTTTTTCTTTAACTTGACTTTTGGATGTTAAACAGGAGCTTTGGATTAAAGATGTGTGGTAAGTAAAACTACACAAAGAATTGGTTAAATGACACATGAATACTTCAGCAAAATGGATTTTCCTCATCTAGTACATTGTGTTCGGTGTTCATGACAATGGCAATATACAGAATAGTGATATTGTCGTAAACAAGCTCAAAATATTAGTGTTGGTTTAGTTATCCAGCTAATTCTGGCTGACATATAAAATATTATTTTCTTTGAATTAGAGATATTTGCCTTAGTTTTGACTTAACAGTCAAAACTTCAATGTGGGTAGGGTATTTAAAGGAAATGTTTTGTTTTTCTCTTTTCCTTATATTGGATTTGATAATTTTAAAACAACATTTTATTTCAGTTGATTCATTCTTAGTATCTTGCCAAGAAAAGACACTCATTCAGGTATGAAGGATAGTTAAGGAGATGTACATTTTTATGTCAGAAATTTTGAGCACTTTGTGGTCTCAACACCATATATATTAAAAATCTATGAATTTCTTTTTTAAATCATGTTTACAAAGAAAGTGGATCAACTGTGACTATGTAAAACATTCTTGGAACAGATATATTACTTTATGTAATATCCTTAGTGAAGCATTCCATCAACTTTGGTGATAAATGCAAACAGTTGACCAATCCATAATTTCATTCATTCATTCATTTTAATGCCTTATCTCCTCATAGCTACAAAGTTAAGTCAATGAAATCAGTATTCTTTAGAATTCTCAACAGAATTCACTGGCCATTTGAATGTCTGAAAAGTTCAAGGAAAACATAAATGCCACAGAAAAAATATGTTTTCTAAATTGAAACACTTCTTTTAGTGCAAGAATACATTTTTTTTTTTTAAGTCAATGAAATCAGTATTCTTTAGAATTCTCAACAGAATTCACTGGCCATTTGAATGTCTGAAAAGTTCAAGGAAAACATAAATGCCACAGAAAAAATATGTTTTCTAAATTGAAACACTTCTTTTAGTGCAAGAATACATTTTTTTTTTTGCCATAGTATTTTAAGAAAATTTTTGGTACCTTGATTTCATCACTCTGTTTTTCTTGTTTTTCTCTCAGAAGTTCTCTCTGCTAAAAACAATACAGTACAGCTTGTAAAATATACTTTTGAAAAGACAAATTTTAAAATAATTTAAATATCATTGGTGTTCCTTACCCTGTTCATTTCATTTTGGTATTCCTTAGGAATAGAGCAGAAAAACAACATTAATGAAGAGAGACATAAAGGAATAAAAATCTATGAGATAGTTTGCCTTACACTGTGCTGCTCCAAGTTAAAAAACAAGTATGTTTTTCTTGAATGCACTAATATTGCTTGCTCTATCATTTCTAACATTGTCTCTTCGCTAAGCTTTCTTTGCTTAAACTATATGTAAATGTGCACTTAGAATATTTAAAACATTTTTTCCACTGAATTTTATTATTATTATTATCTTTCATTTTGTTTTAGTCATAGTTCTGAGTCCTCTGTATCTCATCTGTCTGGTTCAATAAATCTAGTGGCTATTTACGTAAAAAGACAATAAAGAATTGGACAGCACAACACTGACTGGGCAAGCACTACACTTGCCTCCCTTTGTTCACCCTATAGTAATCTTGAGACTTTCTTACCTCTCTTAATTCTCTTCCTATAGGCTACAAAAAAAAAAGGAAGAAAGAAAGATTATATTAAAAATCATTCAGGCAAAATTGGGTTGCCCCAAATCTTTGAAATAGTATCCTTGAAGTGAAATTCCTATTTGTGTTCTATTTGACAATAAAGTCACAAAATTACACAACATATATGGGTTATTATTTAGAGATAGAGAACATTCCATCTTAATGAGTGTGGAAGCTGTTTATTCTACATAGATTATGCAAAGGAAAGCACAAGTGTGCAAAGAGGCAAAAGTATAAAATTTGAATTTAAAGCAGCTCTTTAATATTTGCATCTGTGGTTTCAATATTCTTTGTGGGTGCCTGGGTGACTGAATGAAGGGAAAGTTTAATCAAGTTGAGTGAAAAAACTTTTATAAGCTAAATTTAAATTAATTTTCCTGGAAAAATATGTTTGTCTTTTAAGAAGAAGTGGATAACACTCACCAGAACAAACCTAGAAAACTGTCTTTCTTTGAGGGTTTCCTATAGAAATTAAGTTGTGAATTATAAAAATGAAAACACACCAAAAAAGAGCATCATGTTTTTCCATTTGAACCCAAGGTCTCCATTTAATTTGGTAAGCCAGCATATTTCTTAGGTAGAAGAGAAGATACTTAAGTTTAGTCTTACGGTCTAATTTTAAAATCCAAAGGAGATACCCTATTTGGGTCTTTGTTCACCAGGCCTGGAGATTTAGTAAGTCCATGCCTATCAAAATGTCAAAGGAGGAATTGAATAAGGATTTAATCAAAACAGAGAATTCAGAGAGTTATCCCTGTACCTGAGCACATGAGTATATTTGAAGGTAAATAAAAATTGGAATGAAGCAGACATTCAACATTCATCATAACTAACTGAAAGAGAGAAGGAAAAACCGTACCTCTCTGCTGTCTGGTTCATTCTACAAAGAATAAATAAAAATAAAAAGGTATTAGTTAATTGTGGACAGAGTGGAGGATTAATAATTTATAGAAAGGTGTGATCGAGGTTTCTAATTCAAGAGACAATGTGTTAAGTGAAACCAAGTTGTAAATCATATGTTTGAGTGCAGGTAATAGAAGTAGAAAGAATCAGTATATTAAAATAAACCATATTAAAATATTCTGTCTAGGTAACTGTATCTCTTGAATATTAAGATTTTTATTAACCACAGATGTTTATCAAAGTCCCTATGCCCTCCTCTCCAAGAAGGTTTGTGAGAACAAAACAGCATTTGTCAGTACTTGAATTAAAGTTATTATACCTCAGTGAGTGTGAAACTGGCTATTTCATAGAAAAAGAAGGAACAGGTCTAGGGTCTATATGCTGTCAATATAATATCATCTAAGTTGCAGAATTAGAGGATGTTCTTGGAGCATAAAATAGAATACTTACTTGAATGAGTTCTGGGTGTCTACTACCAGAAAATTTCTGTGAAAAACAATGCAAGGATTGTAAAACTAAAAAACAAAAAGCAATAAATATACAACAACAATATACATATAATATTATGAATTATAACCTTGCTTTTTAAAAAAGGTTTGTATTTTAATAGCTAAATCTGTCTGAGACCAAATTTTCCTGACAGCAAAAACAAAACAAAAGAACCATAATTATTTTGAAAAATATCAAAGAAAAATAAGTTAATTATTTCCCTCTAGAAAATGTCAAAGAATTGAGAAAACTAGATAAAAAGGCTAAAACTGAGATTTTGAGTTTTAATTAATCCAAAATGATAAAGAAGTTATTTAGATTTCTGAACTATTTACATTACATGATAGTTCTAAAGGTGATTTTAAACCATTAGAAATTTTTGGAGCAAAAGGTGTATTTTCCTAACCATATGTTGTTTGTCTGGATTTTATTTTTATCATCAATTAAATTATATAAAATTTTATCTCAACCTGCATTTTGACTGTGAGGATAAGACTTGAGTTTGTTAAATGATAGCATGTAAAAAACTGATGTGTTCTTGCAATAGGAGTGTAGCATCTGTTTTCTGGACACTTTTATCCATTTCATTTGTGAAAGGGCAAGGTAAGAACTAATCCAATGACACATTTCTAAGAGACTTGCAGTCAGATATCGCTTTCTATGGGTGCTTAGGGTGTAGGGTAAAAAACTGTATTGGTTAAAAAGTGGTGGTTATTGTGATTGGTGATTCTGCATTCTACAAATGGGGATTTTGAGAATAAAAGTCTCATCAATAGAATATCGCAGCATACCAGAAACTTTTGCTTCTGTATTTGGTAGTTTCAAAGGCCAAATATCCCAGATCATTATTTTATCTGTATTGATTTGTACTCAGGTGATCCCTGTATATTGCTCTCACTTTCATTAGATACACATTACATGGGGACAAAATAACTTTGCTTTGCATAACTAATTGAATAACTTGTTTTTAAGAAGAAAGATTCTTTTCATTTACATTATCTAACTTCAGTTCACTCTCTACAGTGACCACAGTAACTTGATCTCTGAATCAGCAGAATCAACCTGGTTTTCTATAATTTGGAAAAAAATGATGGACACAAGCCATCTCAAATGGGGTTCTGACTTAGGCTTCAAAAGTAAAATACACTGAAACTTGTGGCTTTATGCTATACTTGCTAAGAAATACTGGGCAGCCATTTATTATATGTCTGCAAATATGCTAATTTTGTAATGGACCCAGGGAAGAACCTAATTAAATTCTTTTGATATTTATTATATTGTGCAATACTTTATTTCTCCTTTTATTTACTTTTTATTCTTAATTTGTGTGTGTGTGTGCGTGCGTGTGTAAGATGGTTGTATATCAAGTCAGACATTTTATTTTGAATTAAGGGCCTGAATGGGCTACATAATGATGATCAAATGTGAAGCATTACCAAAACTTTAGTATCAACACGTCAGTAGCTAATTAGAGATCATCCCATACTTTAAGATTATTATTCTCAGTATTTTGTGTTTAATGTTATGTCAGGTCATGTCTAACAAGAATCTTAAATTCTCTACTGTACTCACAGGCCTGGCAAGAGCAGCCACTACAAGGCAGGTAAGGATAAGAAGCTTCATGATTTCCCAGGCCTATGTAAGAAAACAAAATAAAAAAGAATTATGTCTTACAATAAAATTTGTTTCAGGAAAAACTATAAAAAAAGAAATTCTTGATTTTCCAACAAAGGAGCATCTTATGAAAAAAATAGTTTTGAGAAGTAGCATTTTTATTAATTTATGATTTTAAATATTGCTATTCAATATAAATGTTTATCATTCTAGTTATCTTGATTAATGCTTATATTAAGAAATGCCAAGTTCTTAACCAATATTTGTATTCACTAACACTCTAAAACAAAACATTTGATCTTTGTAGTGGTAATATGGTTTTATCAGAGGACTGGAGAAACATCCATCAGTATTTAAATACAATTTAGAGAAAAACATTTTCTTCTAGATCATCAGATTTGTTAAAGTGGTTAATAAATAAATCTACTGAGAACTGGCATTTAAATTACTTGAAATTTTTTAAAAATGTCTTTCTCCTTTATCTATGTTAGAACGTCTTGTTCTTTAAGAGTGAAAATTGCTGCCACTGCATCATGTAGCACTATTAACCTCCATCAGTTATTTTTTAAAAGGATGTAGCTATCACTTCATGTTTTGCTATATTGATATATCCTTGAAGATGATTGAATTGGATGGAATAAGATTCAGATTTCTTGTCATGTTTGATTTCTTGAGTTCCACAAAACTGCAAGAATCTAGAAATACTGACATTTATGTGTTCTTGGAAAATGGTTTCCAGAGAAATTAGGAAAAAAATCAGGTTACACATGCAATCTGTTTATACCTTAGTCAACAAAATAAGGTACAATTTATTTTGACATGTTTTATATATGCTGCTTCAGTTTACAAACTCCAGAATCTAAGTGCATTTTTAAAGAAGGTATATTTATGAATATAATATGATTTTATAAGCTTTATCCATTTGTATCTTTCCAAATACCCAAATATAACCATCTTTACAACAGTCGTCATATATCTCTGTGTTTGTTATGTCTATAATTTATATACCCTACATAGAATTAATTTTACTAGCCAAATGACATGGAATAAAAATAGGCTTGAAATATTCTAACAGGTATGATCTTTACTACGGTAATTTAAAAAATCAGAAATTATTTTGCATAACAACTTTCCATAGAATTATCCAAATATTTCCAGTTACCTCACAACAAATCTCTACCAAAATTATGTATCTAATTTTTCAATATATATATGATTTTAATTACCAATTATCCAAAATGATTTAGTCTTTATAAAACTATACTGATTTTTCTCCTAAAGCTCTGAGATGGGTGGTATCAAAATTTGCAAGTGCATTTTTAAGCTATTAGTATATATCACAAGAAACTATCAATATTTGCAAACACATAGAAAAGGTACAAATGCATCTTAATGAAAAGTGAAAGATTACACAATGTGAAATCAATGCCATATGTAAACACAATACCTTGAACCCAAGAATGGGAGGAGGAAGCAAGCTGGATTGCTGATTGGGATGATGGCTGATCTCTTTGCTTCACAGCTATTTAAATCTGATGATTAGTAAAATGCTAATTTTGTGGTTTCAGTTCAACCAATAGATTTATTTAAATTCTAAGAAATCTCTCAAATAGGAAACTAATTTTCTGTCCATTCCTTTCCCAAGAAATTCTGAAGAGAGTTTTTAACAATAGAGTGATTCATGCTATGATAAGATGATACAGGAAATGGAATGGCACTATTCAAAATTAAAATACAAGCATTTCTAGATTTATGGTTATTATGGGGATATGATTTTATGTTAAATGGGTAATTGGAAAGGCTAATATATCAATAAAATTATTTTTATTTCTTTGGAAAATTTTGGTGTCTATAAAGGAAATACTTGGGACAAAATAGGGTCTTCAGAAATTTTCAATTTTTATCAAAATTCTAGACCATGAGAAGAAGTCATCATTTATTTCACCTTTTAAAACTCAATTTGTCCTCTATTATTTATTTTAATTATTTACTTTATGTAGTAACATACTGTATGTGCTCTGATCTTTCTTTTTCAAAAAAAAATATAATTGTCCTACAAATTTTGGTGGTATGTTAACTACTTCAGGTAATATTTTGTCTGCTTTGTTTCAGATGTACTAATTGTAATAGCCTTAATTAATTTAATTATTAGATTGCATAATTAAAAATAATAGTTATTCAATATTCAAAATGTTTCAAATAACAACCACACCTCTGATTTTTCATCTTTAAATGAATAAAAGGAAAAACTGAAAATCTCTGTCTTTACTTCCAGTTCTATTTCTAGGATTAATTGGTATTGTACATTTTAGAAAAAATATTGTCTGCTCAAGAAAATACCCATACATAATGAGGATTTTTAAAAATTACTGTTGTTGATTGTAACTACTATTTTAATAAGAAATCAGTCATGCCATTATATTTAAAATTTTTTAAATCTATAATGATCTTTGCAGCCTATTCACAGTTATATGACACTAGCATTATCCTGAGTTAAAAAAAAATTCAGTGTTTCAGGCTCTCCATGTTAAGGATCAGAAGAGATTGTGGTCTTCCACACTGAGGTTCTTTTTAGACTGTGTCTTCCTTGCTGACTGCATCACTTCAAGTTCAAGAACTTACTAGTGTTTCCTATTTACTCTGATTCATTCAAGGGGCTGAAAACAAGCACCCTCAGCTTCATTATAATACCTTACTTTTGGCTTTTTCAGGAGTGTATCCGAGATGATTGACTCATTTTATTCTGAACCCAGAATTGCACTATATAAAAATCCACTGTAATTTGTGAAAAACAATGATACCCTTATCTGTTTATTATTTATTTTATTCACTTATGGTGGGTCTTTAACACAGGAACAGAAAAACATTTTATTATGTTTTATTTTCATATTTTTCATAGTTTAAAAATAGAGATGTGACCAGCACTTCTGGAGTACTTATGAACAGCTGAATCTTAGGATCAAACCAGTCAAAACTTCTTACATAGATTTGATAATAACAAGGCTTGTTATCAAAGAGGAACAGGCTTTTTAAAGTATCTAATTTGTGTCATAAGACACTTCACGAACTTGTACATATACCATAGGAATTCTCATGAACTCAAAATCCAAATTTTTCTATCTATAATCCCTGATGGATAAGAATCAATCTCCACTTTGTCTGAATTAGCTATTGAAGATAGTTAATTTGTTTGTATTTTAAAAAATAAATCATTCTTATCATTGTAAAATATAATTAGTCACTATAATTTGAGAAACCATGATTTTTCGTGTTCACTGTATTTTGGTACAATGACAAGTCCTTCAAATTTTTGTCTTAAGTTTACTTAAGTTTTTTATCTTGATATTTTCCATTTGCTTTTATCAGTTAAAGTTGGTCAGTTCCAACCATTAAAACAAAGCTCAAATTTATAACACATATTTAGGTCATTTATAATCAGATGGTTCTTTGTCCTATGAATAAAGAAAAAATAAGATAATTACCTGAATATGAAATTCTGATGTAATAGAGTCATATGTAAAGTGGACACAAAATTGATCATCTAACAATTAACATTCATAATAATGACAAGGTCTGTTTTTCATAATTATAATAAAACAACAGACACAAATCAGGACTTTTTAGGTAGAGCAAAGTATGGCTATGATAATGATACCACACAATTTGTTTTGAAAATCCAACAGAATCCGTAAACAAATGAAAGTGGAAATAGGTCAGATACGGGACAACTAAGAAGAAAGTTTCCTTCTTGTCCAGCTTTTGATTTGGTAAAGAATATTTCTTTCTTGGATTTATACTTATTAGAAAACTAATCACAAAAATGAAAGAAAATAAATCATTAGCAATAGACATAGATTTTGAAAATATTAGTATGAGTTAAAAGGTCAAGTTTACTATGCAAGGCTATGTATATTGTTGCTATATATGCTGGTTCAGACTCAATTTGTATGAGATAGTCAAAAGATTCAAACATGATGTTTCAAAGGTAGTTTGTCATAGTTCTTCCAAGAACATTTGTTTTTTTGGCTGGTGAGTTTTCTAGGAAAGTGTCCTTTATTATGTAACAAACAGCCAATGTCCCAGAGGAAACTTCCTGAGAAATGTGAAAGACTTTTTTTTTTTTATAGAAACTCACACATTGTTTGGAACTTAAGAAAGGGTTCACAACGGATGCTTAGTAACTGCTTTTAGGTATTGTATGAATAGAACCTTGGGACCCAGAACTAAAACAGAGTTCTTTTCAGAAAGTTGTTGTCTAGTATGAATAGATTATAATACTGGGAATATTGAATCTTTTTTGAACCTTAATTTTGTGCTTATTTTTTTTAAAAATGACCCTTTAAATTTTTTGGTTCTCTGTCAGTAGGCCTTTAGGGACCCAAAGTGAAACACCTAATCTGAGTAAAGTGGTATAATATATTGGTTGCAAGGCAGAGCTTTGGGTCCAAATTGTAAATTTAAATCCTCGCTCTCACTAATGTTGTATTTATCTTGGGTAAATCACTATGCCTCAATGTTTCCATCTGTTCAATAACATCCACTATCTATGTGAGAGGAAAATATGAGATCACACACTTAGAAGTGTTCAGTACCTGAAACAAAGTGCTCATTTAAGATTATCCATTATTAGAACACGATTTTTTAAAGCCTCAAATAATTATTTTGTGCCCAAATTATCTTCATATTTCATAGATTTGTAAACTGTTGAGAATTCATGAATTATGCTTTCATATTTGCATAGAAAGGTTAAAAAAGTGTCCAATAGTGACCACAACTAGAGAAGATTTGGGATGGGATATGAGAGAGGAGCAGAAAGGAGAATTTTGAATTTTTATTAGTGAAATACTGTACTACTTGATATTTTCACAGAACAGTGAACTAAGTTTACTTTACTGTTACTAAGTGAACAAACTTTACTGTTCTTATGACTCACTAAGGTGTCTAAGGGGTGGGGGCTAGGCTTGAGTGGTAGAATGCTCAGAAAAAGCCAGCGAAAAAGAATACTTCCGAGACGATGAACAA